AGCACCATTCACAATAGCTAAGAAATGGAAACAAATGAAGTCTCCATCAACCTGCAAATGGATTTTAAAAAATGCTGCTGCATCTATATATACAGTGGAACACTCTTCAGTCCTAAAAAGGAACGAGATGGCGGTGTTGGCAGCAACATATATCAAACTAGAGATCACTGTGTCAAGTGAAATAAGCCAGCTACAGAAAGGCAAGTATTGGATGATTTCACTCATGTGGGACCTAAAAAAAAAAGTTGATCACATAGGTGCTGGGAATGGAAAGGTAGTGACCAGAGGCCTGGGACAACAGGGAAGGGAAGAATGACCAATAGCTCCTAAGTTAAATGGCAGTGAGATACTCTGGTGTGCTGCTGCACAGTACAGTGACTGCAGACAACAATAACATAATGCACAGTCCCAGTACCATAAGAAAAAGAGAGAAGAAACGATTTTATGAAAATTTTTATCATAAAGCAATGATAAATGTTTGACAAGATAAATATGTTTAATTTGATCTAGATTTTAAACAATGCATACATGTATCAAAACATTATACGGTACCCAATACATATGTAAAATTTGTATGCTTCTATGTGTGAGTTAAAAATAAATTTAGGGCTAGGGATTTAGCTCAGTGGTTCTTGCTTCACAAGAGCAAGGTTCCAAGTTCAATCCCTGCTACCAAAAACAAAAGGGTGCAAGAATCCCAGCACTTGGGAGGCTGAGGCAGGAGGAATGCTGTGAGTTTGAGATCAGCCTGGGCTACATAGTGAGTCCAGGTCAGTCTCAACTACATAGTGAGACCCTGTCTCAGATAGATAGATAGATGATAGATAGATAGATAGATAGATAGATAGATAGATAGATAGATATTTAAAAACAAATTTTATTAAAAAGTAAAAAATTACTAGAAAAGAAGTGCTTCTCCCCTTATGATGCCACTCCTACTAATGCTACCTAAATTGCAGTAGGCTTCACCCTTAACCTATTTCTCCCTTCATCACTGTAATTTATCTACCTGGAAGACAAACAAAACAAATAAAATACACGTACTATAAAAACATGTCTGAGCTCATAAGAAATTCTAAACTGCTTACATGAAAGCTCTACTAAATTAAGAGTTAAGTATAAAGATAATATATAAAATAATTCAAAATTAGCAGTATCCAATCAACTGGATTTGAAAAAAAATAACTCAAAATACAGCCACAAAAGTAGAAGTGTACATTGTAAAAATCTGACACAATCCAGCAGGTCTACAGAAGCTGTTAGTCTTCACCAAATGTTCTTATTTATACTCAACTGAAAATGATTAATTTATGTCCAATTACTTGGTTAGTCAATGTAATAAAAACTTGAGGCTTCCCCAGGATACAATTTCTAACATAAAACGTTAAAATAGAAAAATTTATATTTGAATTTATTTGTCTAAATGTCGAATTTGGTTTTTAAAAAACAAAGAATTCTCTTTTTATTAGTACCTGTTTGTAATTCATGCAGTTTACAATCATCTTGGGAGTGGTTACATGCACATGTTACAGCTTGGTTTCCGGCTCCTTCCTACTGGTTTCCTAACCACTTTCTCAAATGTGGTGATATTATTTGTTTTAGTTCATGTTATGGCTTACAGTGTACACATTAATTGAAGTTATTAGGTTCCTGTACATGGCATATCTTTATTCCTCACCCCTCATCCTTATTCTCTTGGACCACTTCCCTACTGCATGACAGCTGTCCCCTTATCCCTTTCTAGCCATCCTTTATCACTTTCTTTGTTTGCACTTTGCTCGCTCAAATGAGAGATACCATATGGTATTTAAGCTTGTGTGTCTGATTCATTTCACTCAACTTTATATTTTCCATGTGCATCCATTTTTATACAAATGTCTCAAATTTTTTAAAAACAATTCTGACAAAAGCATCCTGACAAACACAGCTGTTAAGGCCTACCAATCTAAAATTAGCCATTATCCATATACGAGCCACAATGCGTGTGTAAAACAGAACTGGGCTATGAAAAGATTGGTACAGACATTTAAACAGATGGTGGACTGAATTAAGTCCCCCAACACAATCATAAACCTTAGAGTAAAATTTAGCTTAAAATGCGGGTGTTAACACTGTTCGTTGACAACGGACAATACAGAGAAGCTTCATCACAAGTCTATGCTGCAAGAAGTGTAAAATCAGATACTGTAAAGTTTTTGAAGAAGGTCTAGAAAAACTCCTAAAACAGTTCAATGAATTGCTTACAACACCAGGATTTCACCCTTTTCCTGGAGCCTTGTTTCTCCAAACTGTAGTATATTTTCCATATATGTACACAGAGCTTACAAAAGATGCCCTCTATGGAAATCCATTCACATACCCGCAAAAGGTCAACTTTTACCAGAAATGTCATATGTTTTAACACAGTTCTAATGCTTCACTATAATACTCTCTAACCTTATAATCAGAACAAGCCAATGAGGTGAGCACTATTAGAACTTATTTTAGAGATTAAAAATTTTTGGCACCAGAACTAAAATAACTTGCTTGAGTCTCACAGCCAGAAAGCAGCAAGTTCAAGATGTGAACCTGGCTATAGAGCAGATTAATAACTATGATGCTCGAATTGGTCTTCCATTAAATACAATGTCTCACCATGTAAAGAAATTGCTCCAATTTTTCCTGCATGAAAAAATATCTGTGCTGTGTAAATATTGGCAGAAAGGTCAGAAAGGATTTTTAGTAACATAAATCTGCCTGATACGAGGAGATGGGTAAATTAAAGGTCATGATAGACTTGATAAACAAGAATGCATCTTCTAATAACTATGAAAATGGCAGCAAGACATGCCTGGACAACTCAATGTCCTCCAATCTCATAGGATTCCATAGCTCTACAGTAAATAGCTGTGAACACACATTCCCAACAGGAAGAGCTGTAGGAATGTGCTATTGCCCATCCACAGATTAAATATTAGGAAACCTTAACTTTTATATTTTGGCATGAAAAATAAATGGGTCACAAGGGTAACATGAACACCACTTTGAAAGCCCTTAGTTTAAGCTATTCATGTGCAGTTACAAAGTTCCATGTCCTTCAGTACTGTAATATTGTGAAGGCACAAATGGAACCTCCACAGACACCAGTGGGTGCCAAGGGTGGCTGCTGGGCCAAGGAATGAAGCCAGTGATCGCCCTGTTCGGCCCCTTCACGTGGTTTGACACTCTTCACTCTTCTCTCAGGGTCTTGAGTCCGGTGTCTGGGAGAATAGTAAAAGCTTTGTGTCTTTGTCAAATGGATATGCATTCCAAAAAAACAAAACCCTGTCCAACACTATAGTTAAAAATGGGTTTTTTCTAAATCCAAGAGGTTTAGGAAAATGAAGTTCCTTAGGTAGAAAACATTACATAGATGTGTTGTGTGTATTCATGTATATGGCATCATATATCAATATAGATATACATATACATAACATGCTGTTTATCATAGATCATATATTATATACATACAGGACACATGGAAGGTGCAGCCTGAGACCTTCAAGTGTCACTGTTGTGATGCCCCATATATCTCATACCCCTTCACTGGGTCCTGGTGACAAAGGTGAGAAGCAGACAATCCACACCCTCTTGGAGTCACTCCTTTATAGGTGTCAATGAGCCATCACCCAGAAAAGTATACCACACAGGATTGGGGTGTGAGTTAATGCCAGATAGCACTTAAGATTTTTCTCATCCAAGTCTTAAAAAGTAGGAAACATCTTTAAGTGTCCAAGAGAGATCTGATTGAATGAAAAAATGGTTATCCTCTCTGATTATGGTTTATGGGCATATAATTCTGTATATAAAAATTGTACTCTCTTACCTAAAATAGTGCATTTAATCTTACCCATGCTCAATTTTAAGCCAACTTGTTACTTATAAACAGAATTTATCAGGAAGTAGAAACTCTTAAAAATAGTCAACCACAAAACTAAGGTCACAGGAAGAATGGAGAAAAACAGCAATAATATATGTTGTATTCAATAAAAACAACATTTGTAGTTTCCACAAAAGTATGTAACTTCTAATTATCACAAGAAACATGCATTGGATGATTTAGCCTTGGACCTAGTATGGATGTATGTACAGAAACCATGGCTCTGTTTACAAACTGCCTTCCAAGTACTTGATATTCAGAGTCCATTCTACCTTTAGCAATTCGAAAGGTTAGTATAAATATAATACAAAGGAAAGATAAGTGTTTAAGGATATGGAAATGCTAATTTCCATGATCTTGATTGATTGACATTGTATACATATATGGAATTATCTCATCACATCCAATAAATATATACAATTAAAAACATCATGGAAACAATGTCTTTGTCAACAGGGAAGGGTGGAGGGGGTGAAGGGAGGACTGGGGAATGGAAAAGAATGAGAACCAAGATAAGTCATGTAAAGGTACAAGATCCCAATGATCAATGTAACTGTACTAAAATGTACCGATAAACTTAATAAAGATAAAAACATATACACAATTATATATTAATTACAATCTTCCAAAGTGCAAACGTAAAACAAAAGCTGCTGGTGACACTGACATCTTTAAAGGTATTAATTCACAGGTTACATTTGTTCGTGGCTGCATTTTTTCTGAGTGTTTCACAGAGTTCATTTTGGTCCTTGTTTCCTATTTGGAAGAGAGCAGCAATGTTCCGCTGCCACAGCAGGAAAACACAGCAAAGGAAGTAGAGTAACGGGCCAAGGCCAGTGGCTCCAGAGCCCGCCAGAGGGAAGCTGTTCCTCCCCCATAAGGCAAAGCCATTCATCTCCACCTCCCCAGCACCTCCTGGGAAGAGCAGCATGAACCAGTCAAGAGACTGGCTCAGGACCTCAGGGAACTTTGCCACATCGGGGCAAGGCTCAAGCCAAAGGTGGGCAGGAAAACTCACCCAATGAAACAGACACCACATAGAAGGGTACCTTCTGCCCTTGACACAGACAGCGTACATCTGAATTTTCTGGAGCATACCCACCCTCAGGTGAAGAGTCTCCCAAGACAGTCCACCCCACTGGCAGCTCCAGCTGAGTCATCGCTATCACAAGCTCCTCGTCCAATGCTGGCAGCGCTCCCCCCGTCAGGGCGAATGGTGTCAGCAAGGTCTGGTGACTACAGGCTGTGAGGCGGTCAGCCTGGGTGACCAGCAAACGGGCCAGCCTGCAGGCCAAATTGTCCACGTAGGTCACCGAGCCGGAGCCCATGGTCACTGGGGAGTAACCCTCAGAGAAGAGGCACACAGACAGTGTCACCGTCTCCTGTAGCCGGTGGCCTGCACAAGAACACAGAGAACAGTTCAGTAGGACAGGCTTACTGGGGCTGGGGGGCAAGCTCCCCACAGCACTGCCTGGGTGGACAGCTCTCGTCAGAAGGGTGGGCAGCAAAGACACCATGTTCTAGAAATGCTGCCACCCCATGTGCCCACTGAAGGCCCACCCCACCTCTAAAATCATCTCTAAAATCAGTGGCTCCTGACTTTGAAACAATCATTCATGAGTGCTGAATACTACGTGTCTGTCTTCTTCTCATCAACACACCGTTTTTTGCCACAGGATCACCTCTGCTTCTACCCCAAATCCAGGTCTGTCTAAAGGCCACTTCTCTTTCCTGCTCTGCCATTGCCTCTGAAGTCATGTAATTTTACCTATTTGCTTAGGCAACAATTTTATGACAGCACCGCATAATTAACACAAATTCATCCCAATTCCGAAGACCTCTTTTGAATGTGAGTAAGGAGGGGTGAAGACTACCAAACAGGGAAAAAAGTGCACACACACATGCACACACATATACCTATACAGTGTGACAAAAAAAAACAGTGAATTTCCCTTTAACTTTATTATAATAAAAGACACATTGCCATTAATCCCCCTTAAATCCACCCCCTCACTTTGAACGCACTCATCCCACCATTCTTGCAACCTTTTGAGGCAGTTCTGGAAGTCCTCTCTCATGAGTCACGGCTGACTCAACATTCTGAGTCAATTCAAATCATTTACTTTTCATGGTCATTTTGACTTTGGAGAAGAGCCAGAAGTCGCAGGTGCCAGAGCCAGTGAACAAGGTGGATGAGGGTACACCGAAAAGTACCTTTTCAGGAGGCTGCCTTTCCCTTGAATGGCATTCACAGCAACATTCACTTTATTTTTTTAAATCACAACTCATAAAGACACTCAGAAAGAGGACTTCAGAAAGTAGCAAGAACGACGGGATAAGTGTGTTTGAATGAAGGGGTGGGTTATTTTGAGGGAGATTAGTGGTAATATGCCTTTTACCGCAATAACTACTCTCTGTTTCTCCTTACATTCCTCTTCATTGATTCACTCTTCTGCGTTTCCAAAGTTGGTGAACTTCTACCTAAGTGCATTTTTCAGCTAACCCTAGCAGAATGTCTAAGGATCAGCAGGACCAAGCTACTGTGACTCAGATTATCACAACTGGACAGGGAAATTACTTAGCTTCTAGTGGCCTGTGGTGAACTCTTACCTCTAAGCAGATGCCTAACAGTTGCAAGTCACTCCGGCTCTGCCTTATTCTCCAGAGCTTGTCCCCAAAGGCTATGTTGCCATGGCTTCAAGGATCAAGAGCATTTCAAGTTCACAAAAAGAGCCACTACCATTTTCACAATGACTCTTCAAAGGGGGAGGAGAAGAATGTACATCCCTGTCAAAGTGCTGTTGCCCTGTTCACATCCACTATTACTACAAACCGGTTATACTGGTAAAGCTGTAACCAGAGAAATTTAAAGCTGGGAAATCAACTGTCATTCATCTCTAAGGAATCTGTCAAAATGATCAGAAAGGTTTGTGTTTGTTTTTTGATTATTTTGATTTGTTTTGATTTCGGTACTGGGAATTGAACTGAGGACTTCTGCAATGAGCTCAGCCCTTTTAATTTTTTATTTCAAGACAGGATCTCACTAAGTCACTAAGTTGCCCAGGCAGTACTTGAACTTGCCCTTGCCTGCCTCAGCTTCCCAGAGTGCTAGGATGACAGGAATGCACCACCATGCCCAGTTAAGATTTTTCTGTAACACACAGAAGGGGAAAGGAGGATTGTCCCTACATATAATTAAAAAAAAGACAAAAAAGTTTTTATATTGGGAGGCACATTTTAGTAACTACTTTTATGCTTTCTCTATTCAAGTCTTGCTTTTTTTAAAAAAAAGGCAAACGAAGGAAAAGGGGGAAAACTAAAGATAAGAAAGACATCAACATAAGGGGCAGAGCAAAAGGACAGAGAGAAAAGGGACCAACACAAAGCAACTATGTGTCACCAACTAAATTTGACTTATTTTTCTTAGAAGGGTGGGGATTACTGAGACACATAGAAAGGTGCTTAAAATTCCTATTCTGAAATTTGATAATAGATTAATTCAACGACCCAGGCCAGGCTGAAAAGTATCCATTCATCTTTACAGTTCTCACTATGTCTGTGCTGTCTGTACATTCACTATCTTCCCTCTACACGCAGTAGGTATGTTACAAAAGCACCTAGAAACATATTGCCTTCAAAGAGAGGCCAATCTTACCTGTTTGAAAAGCCCTTGTATGATACAATTTAAGGGGACCAGAAAGACTCATGATGGAAGACAATTAATGAACAAAAAAGCTGCCTGTCTATTATGGTTTAGATTGAGACTGTCCCCCCAAATCCTCGTGCTCTCGTAGGTGGGGTCACTGAAGGTGTGACCAAAAAGGGTTTGTCTTTCGCCTCGACTCCTTCTCTCTCTGCTTCCTGCCCACCATGACATGAGCAGTTTTCCAGTTTTCCTCCACCAGACCCTTCTACCATGCTGCTTCTGCCTTAGTGCCAGGCAACCATGGACTCTCAAAGTGAGTCAAAATACTCCTTTAAGCTGAAAGTGTCACGTATTTGTCCCAGTGATGAGGAAAGTGACTACGACACTGTGCTACAGATAATGGTGTTTTAATTCCACCTCTAGGTGCACAATCCACAAGCCACATCTCAATGAAAATACAAAACAACCTTATCTGAGAAGGGGTATTAGTGCATAATAACAGGTAAAATGGATATTTTGTCACCTGTAACTATGGTATTTGAAGAAAACAATTAGGAAAATCACTTTTCAAAATATGAATATTTTGTTAGTGAAGAGAGAAAGTTCTGGAGCCTGAGATCCAGTAAAGAAGATCCTGCATGGACAGAGAACCCCAGCCACCAAAGGGAACAAGGTAAGGGAGAGATGACCCTAGGGCTACAAAAAAAGGAGAAGGAAGACAAACTGAATCACAACCAGTTCTTCCTGAGCCAACCATGGCACCAGGCTGGGGACTGAGGAGGCGAAACATAGGTATAGTGTTTCTTCCATCTGACTGCGTTCAGAAAACATCCACCCTGGAGAGCTGCGTGCACCTAGTGGGACGAGCTGCCCAGGCTAAGTTCAGGCTCTGGACGGGGCTGTAGAAAGCACAGCAAACCTCAGGTATGAGATAACACAATGCAAGCGTTCTTCCTAATGTTCACACACACACACACACACACACACACGACACGTGCACGACCTCAGAGCACTGCCATCTTTTCCACCTGTTCTCTTCCTGGCCTACGTTCAGAAGGGAAGACGCTTGAGGGAGATGTCCCACATGCACAGTAAAAATGCCACCTCACCTGGAATGCTGGATTTTAGCACGTTATCATCTGTGCGCTCTGCAATCACGATGTGTCTCTGTTGAGATCCGTCATAAATAAAGTAAAATTCAGCATCTTCAGGTAGATAAACATTTTTGTCAAACTCTGCATAGATTGTCATCTGCCCCTGAAAAAATGAGTAAGTCACAGTATTATTATAGTTCCTTGTCCTGGCTCTAAGAAACCACAACAAAAGGGCACGGGTCCAAAATACTGTCACTTGTTATATTCGCTTCATGTTGAGTGAGCTCAAATATCACGACACCTCCTTTCCAACAACAACATTTTTGACATCAAGGAAGATGCTTCCTGATACATTTAGTATGGATGTCAGAGCCGGTTTGTTCTGTTTTTACAGCTAAAGAAGTTCAGGGAATAGGGAAGATGTGTTGTTGTTGTTGTTTTAATTTACTGAATAAATGTGATACTTTGTTGTCTTTAACTTTAAACTCCTACCTGTCAGACATCATTGCTTATATTAATTTTTACACAGTACCTAAACAACCACAATTATTACAAAGGTTTATGGTAATTATTCTTAACCCTGCCCTTACCTTTTACTGGCCACGGTAGGTTGCAAGAACCTTAAATTATCACAACATTGCCAAATAAATAGAACTACTCGCCCCCACACTTCCTATGCCAGTTCCATTTGCTATTTTCCTTGTCTGAGGTATTTCCAAGTCCTCTTTATCTTCCAACCTAGCTGCACACTTCTTTTGAGAACTTTGGTTAGCATAAAGCCCTAAAAAGTGTCTTGATCTCAAAGAGAGGAGCTGCCACTGAGGTCGCTCTAAGGACAGGCATCAAAGGAAGTGGGGCAGCAGCTAATGGTCTCAAGTAAGTGATCACTCAGAAGCTTTGTGTGGGGTTGGGGTGGGGCGGTGGTGGGGTGGGACAGATCAGCAGAGCTACACCCAAGGGAGCAGCAGTAACAGCCCCACCTGCTAGGTCATCTCAGTGGTTTTGCAGAATTCATGACGCTCAGACCAGGAATACTGTGTGGGGCCTCCCGGGACAGAGCGCATTCCACCCAGCCTGTGGGTGAGGCAAGGAAGTGGAGACCAGGAGTGGAAAGGGTCACCCATTTTGGAGGACCTCCACAGCTCGCCCAGTGTGGAGAAGCACTGGGGCTTTTGTGTGTTCACCCAACAAAAACAAACCCTCTCTCTGAGAGTTCTTTATCCCGAGAGAGGGGAGAGAAGTGAGCAGAGAAAAGTCACACAGTCTCCTGGACGTTTGTGCTTTGGACCGGTGTCAGCCTGACATTCCATATGGCAGCATGACACTGTGGGATGGGTGCTCAGTTACACTGATCAGAAGCAAAACCCAGATCAGTCCATGGCTCCTCCTCCTGGCAGCCAAGTAGTAATTGTGGCTAAAATAATTTTAAGTAAAAAATGTATATAGCTCTCATAGCTGTTTGTAATCCATCACACACACACACACACACACACACACACACACACACACACACACACAGCAAGTTTAATCTGAAATTATGAACCAATATAAATACAAATTATGGTGTTTTGCAAAATATCACTGGTCTGCAATTTTGAACCATCTCCTCTCAGAAAATGGGCCTGCATGCATACACAAAAATAATCAGTAGAAAATAACATACCAAGAAAAAAAATCTACCATATAATAGCTTCAATAACAGTTTAGGAAGGAGACTTGCAAAGGAAAAGAAAAGAAAAAACCAAAACAAAAATAAATGTCTAACATGACTGAGAAGGCAAACTTTAATGAAATTCCATTTCCTAAAAAAGGAAAAACAACTTGATTTGGTTGTATTGCTGGTTGCTGGAGAGACTGTTAATTATTAGAACAGAATCTGACCTGACCTGTTTGTGTTTTTTAAATAGAAAATAGATTGTATAAATAGGTCAAAGATTTTATAGATCAGAAACACATCTAATCTGCATCTATTTCAAACAATGGTCATATTACTGTTTTATTTGGTTGGGTGAATAAGAAATACCACTTAGCAAAGAGTTCAATCGCAACCTTTCCCTAATAGTCCCATCCTGTAATTCACGATGGCTCCCTTTCAAGAACCGCTCCACACTTTATGTTGAAAAAGATGAATAACTTTCAAGTTAGAAATGAGACAAATCTATTCTGAAGATAAGTCCAGAAGCCCTAGCCCTAAGTATTATGTTCAGCAATAAAAAGAGCCCCAGATTTAGTCTCACAATGACACCAGGAAGACACAAAGATATTATGGAAGGGAAAGAGGAGGAAAGAGAGGATGCAGAAAACAATAGAGGGAGAAAATGAGAGCGAAGGTGGTGGGCGGGAGAGGAAAACAAAGAAAATGTGAAGACAACAAAACAAGAATGCTGCATTCAGAAAAGGAATGTAAGGCTCAGGAGACAGGGAAACTACTTAGAAGAGCACAGGGAGATATGCTACTGGAATAATTTGTCAAGCAGCAATGACAGAGTAAATAATCAGCCACAGGTGACTGCTTCTGGCTAAAACCTGGGTCTTTCTAACGTGGTGGTCACTTAAAATTTGCTGTCTTCTAAAATGCTACTTGTTTCCTATATTGTAAAAACACATTTCAGTTTACAGAGTCATAGTGTACGTCTTTCATTTCCCGATCTGGATTCAACTGCATTCTTTGATTTGGGCATTGAAAGCTATAACCCTTCCTAAGTAAGACTGTTGCCATCAATATCAGAATTACTCTGCATCTCTACAGAAGTAATAGTGATGTGTCATCATATTTCTATGAATTACACCCCCAATATAAATTTCTAGAAAGAGAAGCATGGTAGGCAAAATTAGCTCCCCAAATGAGCCTATAAATTAAATGTATACAATCAAAACCCAAACTGCAAATCTTCAAAAGAAACTCAGTAAGTTTATCCTAAAGTTCATTTGAAAGAGTAAGTACAAAAGAGAACAAAGAAATGTATGAAAAAGAATAAATGTTTCACCTCTGATGGGCAAGGTGAGCATTTGTCCTGTGATAAGGCAAAAGAGAATAAAAACAGGGTAACATAAACAGTGTGACAATGACATCGGACAGATCCCAAAGGCTAAAGTCCAAAGACAGGTACATGTACAGGCCAAGAACGTGATACTCCACATCAGTGGGTAAAGAATGGTCTACTCAATAGTTTGGGGACAACAGCTGTCTATTAAACATAAAAGCATGACTCCTACCAAATAGTTAAATGCCCAACATTTAACATAAAATGCAAGACAGCATAATATTAGAAAATTGTTTTAACGTCATCATTACTGAACAAAATAACAGCATCAAGATATCTGAGCCAGAGATTTAGCTCAGTGGTACCACACCTGCCTGGCAAGCACAAGGTCCTGAGTTCGATTCCAGATACCAAAAAAAAAAAAAGATATTTGAATTTCATATACATTGACATCACCTTGAAGTATCAATTTTTCCTCTTGCCTGACAGGTTTTGTTCATAGGTAATCACTACATAGCTACTCATAGAATACTCATAATCTTGTGCTTTCCTTTCTCTGTCAAAAATATTTTCCATATTGATCTTTAACAACTTTCTTTTTTTGGTACTGGGATCAAACTCAGGTCCTTGAGCTTGTGAGGCAGGTGGTGGAACCACTGAGTAAAATCCCCGACCCTTTAACAACTTTCTAATTGCCTTTCATCAAGTGTTTGATGCTCTATAATTCCATGATTAAACATTCTTCTATTTTGCACATTAAGTGTATTTTTCTTTAACATTATAAACAATCCTGTAATAAATAATGTCATGTCTATTCTTATGCTTTATTATTATTTTAGAATAAAATTCCAGAAACCAGTCCAAGAATGTGAAAAACTTATCACAAACTGCCAAATTGCTTTGCAAAACTGTGTCAACTTTCATTACAGTACTATTTGTGGCTAAGGGTATCCATTTGGTTATGGAATTTTGTTTTATTTTTTCATAAAATAAAAAGATTTGGGGGTGGGGATTTTAGTGCACCAGCACCTGCCTCACAAGCACAAGATTCTGAGTTTAATCCCTGGTACCAGCAAAAAAAAAAAAAAAAAGATTTTTAAAAACAGTATACTTTCCATCCTAATCTTGTGAAATGTATCTTTTGTATTATTTCTTATGTTAAATAATAAACCATTCCTTGATGATTTAATTCATATTTTTTTAGTTGCCACTGAAATTTGTTGCCTACTTTCAGAAAAACTTATTACCAAACAGTGTGCATATGGCCAGTGGTCAAGTTTCAATTTAAAGAATTCTAGTCTTGGGCCGGGGATTTAGCTCAGTGGTGCCGTCACCTGCCTCACAAGCACACGGTCCCAAGTTTGTTCCTGGGAACCAAAAAAAAAAAACCTCTTCTCTCTGTGTTCACCTAAAAAATTTGCCTTTCACAAGTCAATTTTCACTTTCCAAAGCAAACTACTATAGTTGGAATCTGTGTCAAAGTCATTTCCTTTGCCCTATAAATAATGAAGGGAATCCACACCTATCTACTCATGCCCAAATAAAAAAAATCATCTATACCCTGGCATACTTGATGTTACTCTAAAAGCCAAGATACATAGAAAACAGGAATAACAAATGCAGAGTAGCAAAGATGAACTATAATCCTACTAAATGTACTTCACTATAATCACACAATTGGGTAAATTTATCCCATCAAGCATCCCCTATCCTAATTAAACTTATCAATAAGTCTCAAAGACCCAACCTTCTTCTGAAATGCTGGAAGCCTATGGATTTCTTTCCAAAGCACTAAGAATATATTACAGTTTGTTTTTGCTACCTTAAGCTATTTTATCCAATACTCTCTATTTCAGATAGCATTTAAAATGGAAGTGGTCCTGAACACTAAGATGTATATTCTAAGGGCTTCTTCATTAACCTCTGTCATTAATGCCCTAAAAAAACAGGGTGGCTGTATTAGCCTAAACACTGGGTATTCTTGCACAAATTTTCTCTTTCCCTCCTTCCCTTCAGCCACTACAAGCAATACAGCTGCATATAGTTATACTTGATTAACAGTAATATCATTTGCTGGATAACCTTAACTATTTAGTTTCTAAAACATCTGGCATCAGTGTGTAACAAGCCAACGGTGTGTTTTTGCAATAGACAATGAGAACAAAGTGATAAATCTTTT